CTTTTCGTTCTAGAAGGACCAAAGAGATCCATGTGCAAAAGTTGAAGCGGTCTAGACGTTGAAACAACGTTCTTAGACTTAAACGAAGCCCGAACTTGCTTCCCCTTTTGACATGCATCACATATGGTGTCCTTTTCAAACTTAAGTTTTGGGATGCCAATTACTAAGTCCTGTGAAACCAATTTGTTCAAGAGGTTCATGTTCATATGAGCTACCCTTCGGTGCCATAGCCAAGTGTCTTCCTCTTTACTCATGAGGCACTTAGCAAAGCCGGAAGGAGATTTGTCTAAGTTAACCATATAAATGTTATCGATTCTGTCACCACGTAGAATGACCTTATTGTCACTAAGGCGTTCTACAGTGCATGACTTTGAATCGAAGGTCACACGGTTTCCCTTGTCACATAATTGACTTATGCTCAAGAGATTGTGTTTAAGACCTTTAACAAGCAAGACATTATCTATAGAGGAGAAATCAGATTTACCTACTGAACCAACGCCGATAATTTTTCCTTTGCTATTGTCTCCAAAGACTACGTTTCCTCCTTTAGCGGGTTTGATTTGGAGAAACTTGGATGCATCCCCGGTCATGTGCTTGGAGCATCCGCTATCAAGGTACCAAAGTACACTTGATGCCTTCAAGCACACCTATAAAACACATCAATAAGTTTTAGGTACCCAATTTACGTTGGGTCCTCGGGTGTTAGGTGTGTGATGGTAGTGTGCTTGATTTTGTGACAGGTGCCTATGCCTAGTGTAACAAACGGGAGCAATATGGCCTATCCTATTGCAGTAATGGCAAACTACATTAGGGTTGTACATGTGCCTAGGTTCATAATAGTTAGAAGGTTTAACCATTTTGTTCCTATTTTGTGAAAATGATGGTTTTTGGAAATTTTGAAACTAGCCTCTTCTAGGTGTTCTAGCATTATTTCTTCTTATTTGTGAAAATTCATTTTTATGCACAAAATCATTTTTCTTAGGTTGTCTACCATGACCGTTTTCATTCCTAGGTTTTAGTCTAGGTTGTCTAGTGTCCTTACGTTGACTAGGTTTTCTATTATCTTGATTTTTAGGTTTCTTATGTTGAGCCTTAGATGATTGTCTAGGTGGTGGCTCAACATTATCTTTAGCTTTATTTTTATCAAAACCTATTCCTTCCTTAGAAAAATGCATAGTGTCAAGAAGTAAATTTAAGTCTTTATGAGGAATATTAAATTTCTTGACCGTGCTCTCAAGTTTAGAGACTTGCTCTTTTAAAGCTTTGCAAGACCCACATTCACTTGATGAGCTTTCTGGTTTGTCAGCGCTTCTTTTTCCAAAAAATTTGTTTTCTTGTTTAAGTGTTTCATTTTCTTTTTCCAATTTTTCAAAATCGTTTTCAAGTAAAGAAAGTCGTTTCTTCAAAGATTTATTTGTTTTAGAAGCGCTAATAAATTCCTCATAGAGTTCATGAAGTGCTTCTTGCATTTCTTCAAAAGTATAAGAGTCGGAAGAAATGTTACATACCTCTTGGACGTCGTCGCTTTGATCTTCGTGTGCCATGAGGCAGAGGTTTGCAGCTTCGTCCTCCTCTTGGTCGGTTGATTCGTCGCCGGAATCGCCACCCCAAGAGATGTAGGCCCTTTGCTTCTTGAAGCCAGGCTTGTCCTTGCCGTGTTTGGCCTTTGGACACCTTGGCTTGATGTG